TATATATATATATATACAGAGTATATCATTTTAATTGACGCATTAAAATATCTCTTCCACTGGGATTACACTTAAGAAATTGATGACCTTTACGTGACCTTCAAAAAACTTTCCAAGGTCAAACCAATAGCACCATCTTATGTCCTCCTCAAAACCATATAACTTTTGTCTGAAACATTTTTCTCTAAAATGCGCTGTTCAAGAGATATTTTAGTGCGTCAATTAAAATGATATACCCTGTATATGTATATATATTACATCCATTTTAAATATACATGTTTAAAGAGGAGTATAAGAGCTTCTCAGAATTGAATCGATACTTAAGTTTAAGAAGAACTATAATGATAAAAGTCAGTTGCCGTAAAATGTACCTTGTGTTGGGATCTATCTGTTGCCGCTTTTTACCGCTATTAGGTGTTTGAGACGGTAATCTTTGTCCTAAGACGATTCTATATTGGACACTATGCGTATTCGCTCTAAGATGTTTGAGATTCCCAGCTTGGCAAGCTGCCCAGTCAGTTACATCGTACACAGCTCCTTCCATGCACGCATAATAGTGCCATAGGAAACCCATTAAACGAGACTCTGCCCATATATCACCCTGTACGGACAGTTTAAACGATTCATTTTAAGAAAAGGGACAGCTGATAAATAAATACTCACTTCTTTCGCACTGTGACGTATTTTGCATTGATTACAAAATCGCGCGGCATAACAAGGACGTTGCGTAGGAATACGTTTGTGTCTCAAGCCACAATTTGTACATCTTATTGTATTTGCTGCCTGTTCCATCTTTCGATGAAGTTGAGATAGCAAGTCGCTTAGCTCGCCCCAAGCCGCTTCGACTTGTCTAGTCTGATCAAACGCTTGCCTACGTTCCTAAAATAATACGTAATGTTAATAAATATATATGCATAGTGATCTTATAGGCCAAAAGCTGATATTGCTAATTTTCATTATTCGTTGTTACGAAAAAAATATGAGAAATGGATGCTTCATTACCGGTTCCCCAATGATATCGAAGGCATGTACCAATATTTTGAATGCTTCTTCTGCCCCTGGCTGATGATTTTTATCTGGATGCACTAGGAAGGCTTGCCTCTTGTAATATTTTTTAATATCATCATCTGAGCATGTAGGTGTAACACCGAGTATGCTGTAAGGATCCTTTCCTTTGCACGCTAATAATCTTTTCATGGCTTCCTCACCGGTGCTGGGCAACGCGATATTAGTTTCTAGTCCGCCATGAATCCAATTACCATTGTCTTCTTTGTCTTCGTTCTTCTTAGTGTTTATCTTTCGCCAGAACGCAAATTTACTACTACCAAGCCAATTGTCCAATTGTTTACCAATAGCGTTTAAAATATGAATTTTACAAAATGTCACAGCCACATACATCCACCAACACTTCAAATAAAGTATGGTGTGATACCAAGCACATTTGCCACTGAAAAATGTTAAAAAGTAAGAAAAATGGGAACCTTGTTCTAAAAGTAACTTATATACAGATGCGAGAGTGTGCTTTCCATTTAAATACAAACGTCCTCCTATCTTTCTTGGCATTTCATGAATAAAGAAAAAACAATACTTGTACAGACTTGTGTCACCAAATGAAAAGCATCCAGAGAAAACGTATCTTGCACAAA